CTTATGTTGTGGCTCCCAGTATGATACCCCAAAGTGTGACACTGTGGTATGCTGAGTACTTTGAACCAAAGGAGACTGGAAGGCTCAGAAGCAAGGTCTCTCTGACCTTCTCCTGCCCTCCTCTCTCACACTCCTTTTTCTCCCTGGATGCAAGCCACAGAAACCGGAATTCCTCTTCCTCAAAGCCAGTCTTAGAAACTAGGACTCCTCTCCCCGAAAGCAACCATAAAACCTAGAAAGGTCACTCTCTTCCTTCTCCCTTGAAGACCCTCCATCCAGAGAAGTCCTGCCCCATACCCAAGAGGAATAAATACTACACAGAGTGTCCAAGAAGAATCTGAACAGACAGGACTTGCTGGTCCGCTCACCCCCCAGGCTATAACCATTAGATTACACCCATTTCGTCCAATCACATTCCTTCATAGCTAACTATTCTTCATTACTCCTGAGCATAAAAATAATTTTCCCCGGGTCTTTGAGTCTTCATTTCTGAAGCCTCCTGTGTCATGTAAAACTGATTAAATTAATGTGTTATGTTTTTCTCTTGTTAACTTGTGTTTGTTATAGAAGTGTTAGCCCTTATGATGGCTGAGGAAAGATATCACACCTTTCCACCCCTAAACTTACAATGCTTTTTGAAGACCTCAATCTGAACAGATGAGGCTACACGGTTGTGTTGTGTCTTACTGCTAATTCCTTTCATTGCAGCCGTGTTCACACACTGGCTACTCACATACTGCACGCGATGACTCAACATTGCCACGTCCTCTTTTGGCCTCTTTAGTGAGAGCTACTGGCTCAGAAAGGAAGCAGCTGGGATGAGAAGTCTGGGGGAGCGATACTGTCCAGGGAGCCCATTATGTAGGAAGAGGAGTGGAAACAGAAAGCACCCCGCAGGCTAGGTTGCAGACAGGAAAGAAAAAAATTACACAGGTATTATGGCCAGAACAGCCAGTACAAAAGAGCCACTTCACAGCGGAGGAAGCCTGGCTCACGATTTCCCTGGCTCCTGTCTGGCCCCCATACAATTTCTGTAACATCTGTGAACCAGGGCCAATAGCAGCTGATAGTTTCCAGAGTCCTCAGACAGGTTTGGAGGAGAGCTGTCATGAAACTGGAAAAGAAAAGGGCTCTTACAATTCGAGGAAGTTCACGCTAAGTTTGGCACAGAGCCCTGTTGCTGACTTCCTCTGTAACAAAATCCAAAGCAAATTGCTTCGCCTTAATGGGCCGAGCTGTAAAATGGGGGAATGGTGCTCAGCAGCCTGGCAAGGACCGTAGACACAGGGAAGGTGTTAATTAACGACAAAGTCCTTGTGATAACAAATTGTCACGAGAATGCACATCACCGCGTTGGCCAGATAAGCACGGAAAAGGCTTTGAAAACTCGTCTCCCCGTGGACCTCTGTAAGAAGTCAGTAATTTTTCGTGGAAGATTTGGGTCAAAAGGAAATTGACTGCCTTCAGGGCATCAAGCTTCAGTAGAGAAACCAGCATAGGATGCTCAGACCCAGCAGGGAGTTCCAAAGCAAAACCAACCCAGACCTGCAAGCAAATAGACATTTTAGCCACAGGATAAATGCAAAGTACCCAGACTTCAATGGCTCCCTGGAAAACACAGGCAGGAAAACAAAAGCATCTTCCTCATGAGACCCTTGTTATCATTTCCCTGTACCTTCCACAGTCTAAAATCCCGGACCCAAATACAAACGAGATCTTTCCTTCGTGAAACCTTTCTCTGCCTGGGTCTCTTCCACTAACTCATTGCTCATGTCTACTTTTTGACAAAAAGTGAGCATAGTACACATGTAAAGGAAAATTTAAAAATCTCAAGCACCCCCAAACTCCTCAGGCAAAAGGGAAAGTTAAGCCTGGAGACTGAGTCATGTAACACCCTCTTCCAAACAAATAGCTGTTGCTAGCATTAGGCATACAAAAAGCATTTTAGAGATGCTTGTGACAGCCAGAAAGAGTGATAGGAACAAAAGTTAACACAAATTAGCCTCTACTATGTATGCATCTCTCACTTGGAGATGCATCCTTTCATTTAAATCTTCATCACAGCTTCATGAGATAGTTTTCATTATCCTCTCATGTCATGGTGGTGTTTTTCTTAACAGATGTGGAGATGCAGCCTATAAGAGGCCTAACTGAGGATTACAACAGACTCAGATTCAAGCCCTGTGCTCTTTCTGGCAGGCCAAACTGCCTTTTGACAGTCCTGAGACAAAAGCACTGACTCAAACATCTATAGCCCAGTTTTTAAATAGGTAGACATTTAAAAAAAAGTTTTAAAATCACTGTTGTAAAGTCATACACAGTAAAATTCACTCTTTCTGATGTAAAGTTATGGACTTAGACATATGCATACTCACATAACTACCACCACAATAAATATATCTATCATCCACCCCCCAACTTCCATACCCCAGATTCCTTCCTGTTGCTCTCGGAATGAGTCCCTTCCCCTTTCCCAGCAACAGCTGATCTCTTTTCTGACCCCATAATTTTGCCCTTCTCAGAAAACATCATCTTAAAATCCATGGCACTCATGAATTCAAAGAACAGCTGCCCTCTCTGTGAACACAAACCCACCACTGCAATACAGGCACAGGGAAATGATAGCGAAAGCCAGCAAAAGCTATAAGGTGCCCTCTAAAGCACCCACTCTCCCCCAAGATGGCACAAATAAATATAGGACATCCTCAGCATTTCAGATGGTGGAGAGGATCTGGGAGGCTTTCTGGGGGACCCCTGGAGCACCCAAACAGCAGCCACCACAGGACCTAGGATAAGGTTCCACTGTTTATTCATCCTTGACCCCAAGTTTCCTATTTTTCAACAAATACAGCTCTGTGTTCTTATAGCCAGATAGTGAAATTGGCAGGTGCTTATAATCTTATGCAGGAAAACGAATCCTCCTATACCTGGGAAAGTCTGTCCCCAGAGAGCCTGGAGGGCTCAGGGCTCAGTGGGTAGGGCAGAGAAGTGGGGAGAGAGGGAGGAAGAGAGTGATGGGGTTCAGAATGCACTACACCAAAATATGGCACCTTGGCATCTGAGGAACAGCAGAAGCGGGAGTCTCTCTGACCTTCTGCAGCCATTCTCTCCTGAAGCAGGCCATACATAATTCTCTGACCTTCCTCTAACCACCGCTGACCACCCTCATCCTTAAAGTATACAACCTATACCCAAAGGAAAGGAGTGTCCTTATCTCTGAAGACACAGGGATGCAGTGAAGAATCTGAGCAAACAGGCCTTGCTAAGCTCCCCGCAGTTTATTGCCATTAGATCACATTCCTTTTGTCCAATTATACTTCTCCACATCTGTCTGCTATTCTTCAAACTTAAGCATAAAAATACACTGGTTTCTGTTGCTTTGGGTCTTCATTTCTGCAGGCTCCTGTGTCATGTAAATTTTATATTAAGCAAATTTGCACATTTTTCTCTTGTTACTCTGTCTGCATAGGGGCCTCAGCTGAGAACTTTTAGATGCATAAAGGAAAGATAATTATTTTTCTCCCCTACAGGAGTAAGGGATCTCTGCTGAATCAGTCCTGGCCTCCAGCAGAATCAGTGACCCATGGACTCCATCACATACCTGGATGGCTTCTGACTGCCCCACACTGAGCTCCTCCTGGAAGCTCACTTTGAAAAGCCAGCCACACCTTCAAAGACTCATTTCCAGAGCCTGCAGTTTCTTCCACCCGGGAATAAACCCTTGCTTAGGTGGCACTTCCCTCCATCCCAGAATATTCTTTCAAACCATCCACCTGCAGCAGGTGGTAACTTTTCAACACCTTACCCAGAGCACTGGAAACCAGGCTTTGCTGGAGGATTCCACCTGCAGCAACTGGGTTAACAAAAGAGGTCAGATGTCTATAAATTATAGTAGAGCCTGTGATTGGGCCAGCAAGGATGCAGAGTGACAATGGTTGCTTTCTTATAAAACCATGGAATCCAAATATAGGATCAAGGATCAATTTTCCAAGCAGTCCAGAGGCAGTGACTAAGAACACAAACGTCTGCTCTCTGAAGGTCATGGTCCTGCAGAGGGGATGTGAGGCTGCCAGGGCTGGCCTGGGGAGGTAACAATTTCCTCACCCACCAGTGGTGAGTCCTGGCAAAGACCCAGGGAGGAAGCACAGCTAACATCTAACATCAACCATGAGACTTGAAGGCCATGTGTCACGTTCCTCCAGCCTCTCTATGCTATTTCCTTTTCACACTCAGAACACCTGGGAACCTGGGCCAACAAAGAGCTCTGAAGACTTGGGTCATGGCACTGAAATCAGGAAAAACTTCCTAGGGCCTTTTTATGGAAAAGACTCTTGTTAGGGCAGGAGGAGGAAAGTGAGAAGAGGAAGGGGAAGGGAGAGAGGAAAGAGGGGAGAGAAAAGTAAAGCTAAATAAAACCATATTTTAATTTGTAATACATATCTCTCAGGCCAAACTTTAGTTGTGTTTATGAAAGAAGAACATTATAAATATTCATTATGATCTGGTTTGGTAAAAACAAGGGGATAAATACATATATTTGAATGTTTCATTCAAATAAATAATAATATATTGCTATATATATTCTAAATATATAATTAAATATATGATATATGATATATAATGTATAGTATATATGTTAAATATCATGTATGGCATACATAATCTATAGTGTATATGATAACTATGTTATATATGACATATATAATGTATGCTATATATAGTAATTCTATATTAGACTGCATATTCTAATTCTAGCCACTAAATTAGAATGAAAATGGAACTAAATATGCCAAAAGTTGGGTTTTTTTGCTCTTCTATATTTCAAATTTTGAAAAAAATTCTACATTATTTTGTAATCATATTCAAGTTACTGAAACTTTTAAAAGTTTATATGCTCAATGGGAAGCCCTCCCAATATATATTGTTCCCATTTGGAGCATGGTCCCAAAGCACCCCTTAGAATAGGGGTCCCCTCTGGAGACCATGTGGAAAGGACAGACCTCTTTCTGTTCGCCTCCAGCACAGTACAGAGAGGGGATGAGGTGAGCCTTCCATTCTTCCAATGCCTGCAAAGGGTTCTTCCTTTTATCCTCGGAGTGGAGCCTGGGGGGAATAGGAGGAGCAGCTATACAAACAGCTCCCTTTAAGGCATCCATCTGCCTCTCATCTTCTACAGACAGGCTTCCCCTGGCTTCCTGGAGTTGTAGGCTCTGGATAAGCAATCGACAAGCTTCCAAGTCAGCTTCCCACACTTTCCCAAGCAGTGGACACTTGCAGCTGAGACAGAGAGGAAACAAAGACATAAAAGTAAACTCAGTGATGTTTCATCATGCCAGGTCAATAGCTTGTCTACCAGGCTAAAATTCAGCCAGTCATCTTATACTTGATGACTTAATTTCACAGTGATAAATTACTTCAACTAGAAGACGTATCAGAGGGACCAAATTTGTACACCATCAAGTCACCATGAAACGTATTGGTCCTTAGCTGCTTGGTCTGCAAAGGCATCCAAAATCCTATGTATTTTTCCAGACTCAGCAGCCCAATACAACACAGTTTCTGCTCATATCTGTGTTTCCAGCCTTACTGTCTTGCTTTGAAACCTCAGACCTGTCCAACTCTTCCAGGCTAGATCATCTCTCTCCGTCCATTCCCCACCAACACACATACACCCAGGCCTTCATCTGACTAAATCATATTATCTTCAGAACTCGGCTTAAATAACCTTTTTGGGAGAAACATTCCCTGCCTTCCAACTGGAAAATATGATGGATCTCTTAGCATTTTTTACTTTTATTTCAGAATATTTATCACAATTCTAATTATTTATGTGATTATTGTTTTCTTTTCCCTGAGGGCAGGGCTTGTAACTATGTTGTTCTCCACTCTATCGCTAGACTCTTTGTGTTAGTCTGTTTTCATTCTGCTAAAAAGAACTGCCAAAGACTGGTTAATTTATAAAGGAAAGAGGTTTAATTGACTCGCAGTTCAGCGTGGCTGGGGAGGCCTCAGGAAACTGACAATCATGGCAGAAGGTGAAGGGGAAGCCAGGCACCTTCCTCACATGGTGGCAGGTAGGAGAATTGCAGAACAAAGGGGGAACAGCCCCTTTTAAAACCACCAGATCTCACGAGAACTCACTATCCTGGGAACAGCACTGGGGAAACTGCCCCCATGATTCAATTACCTACACCTGGTCTCTCCCTTGACATTTGGGGACTATGGGGATTACAATTCAAGATGAAATTTGGGTGGGGACACAAAGCCTAACAATATCATTTTACCCCAGCCCCTCTCAAATCTCAGGTCCCTTTCAAATTTCAAAACCAATCATGCTTTTCCAACAGTACCCCAAAGTCTTAATTCATTCTAGCATTAGCCCAAAATTCCAAGTCCAAAGTCTAATCTGAGACAAGGTAAGTCTCTTCCACCTAGGAGCCTGTAAAATCAAAAGCAAGTTAGTTAATTCCAAGATACAATGGGGGTACAGGCACTGGATAAATGCTCCATCCCAAATGGGAGAAATTGGCCAAAGCAAAGGGGTTACAGGCCCCATGCAACTCCAAATTCCATCCAAGCAGTCAAATCTTAAAGATCTGAAATGATCTCCTTTGACTCCATGTCTCACAACCAGGTCATACTGATGCAAGAAATGGGTTCCCATGGTCTTGGACAGCTCCACCCCTATGGTTTTGCTGGGTAAAGTCCCCCTCCTGGCTGCTTTCACAGGTTGGCATTGAGTGTCTGCAGCTTTTCCAGGTGCATGGTGCAAGCTATCAGTGGATCTACCATTCTGGGGTCTGGAGGATGGTGGCCCTCTTCTCACAGCTCCACTAGGCAGTGCCCCAGTGGGGACTCTGTCTGTGGGCTTTGACCCCACATTTCCCTTCCACACTGCTCTAACAGAGGTTCTCCATGAGTGCTCCACCCCTGCAGCAAACTTCTGCCTGGAAATTCAGGCATTTCCGTACATCCTCTGAAATCCAGGCAGAGGTCCTCAAACTTCTATTCTTGACTTCTGTGCACCCACAGGTCCAACACCACATGTAAGCCTCCAAGGCTTGGGGCTTGCACCCTCTGAAGCAACAGCCTGAGCTGTACATTGGCCCCTTTTAGCCATGGCTGGGACACAGGGTACCAAGTCCTGAGACTGCACAAAGCTGCAAGGCCCTGGGCCCAGCCCACAAAACCATTTTTTTCTCCTAGGTCACCAGGCCTGTGATGGGAGGGGCTGCCATGAAGACCTCTGACATGCCTTGGAGATATTTTCTCCATTGTTTTGGGGATTAACATTTGGCTGCTTGTTACATATGCAAATTTCTGCAGCCAGCTTGAATTTCTCCTCAGAAAATGGAATTTTCTTTTCTATGCATCATTAGGCTGTGAATTTTCTAAAATTTTATGCCTTGCTTCCCTTTTAAACATAAGTTCCAATTACAAATCATCTCTTTGTGAAAGCATAAAAATGAATTCTTTTAAGAGCACCCAAGTCACCTCTTGAATGCTTTGCTGCTTATAAATTTCTTCCACCCTAAATCACCTCTCTCAAGTTCAAAGTTCCAGAGATCTCTAGGGCTGGGGCAAAATGCTGCCCATCTCTTTTCTAAAGCATAACAATTGCTCCAGTTCCCAACAAGTTCCTCATCTCCATCTGATACTACCTCAGCCTGAACTTCATTATCCATATCACTATCAGCATTTTGGTCAAAGCCATTCAACAAGTCTCTAGGAAGTTACAAACTTTCCCACATCTTCCTGTCTTCTTCTGAGTCCTCCAAACTGTTCCAACCTCTGCCTGTTACCCAGTTCCAAGTGTCTTTCACATTTTTGGGTATCTTTACGGCATCTTCAACATGGATCATGAACTCAAATACATAGCATGCCCAGCATGCAATGTAACTTTGTGGAGCAGAGAAGGGATGATATAAGCCATGACAACTAATATTCAGCCTCATTGGTAGAAGATAATAGAAAGGAGTGACTCTGGCTAGTTGGGAGTACATATCCCTGTATATGGAGCACATCATCAACTCATCAACTCAGGCACACTGAAATTATGAGGGATGTAAATTCAATGTTGACAAAAATTTTGACTTTTTTTGGAAAACCAAAAATCAGGAATTTTCAATGAAAATATATATTTTCATCCATCCAGACAGCTTCATGCCAGATATTTTCTACAGACCTATCTTCCTTTTAATAAACCTTCCTTCTACTGTCTTGAATCTGCTGTTCAATCTACTATTGTGTTCTAAGTTTCAGTTACTTTTAATTTGATTTTCTTTGATATATTCCAGTTCTCTGTCAAAATTCTCCATCATGTTCCCTATTTTCTTGGACCTATTAATTAACATTCTCCCAAAGCCCATGTCCATAAATGATGAGATCAGAAGGATAAAGAAGGAATTAGGCAGAAGTAATATTGGAAGAGATTATCAGCTGAAAACACCATGTGTTGACAAACAACATCACACCACACATTTAGGAAGCACTACAACTCAAAATAGGAAAAGATCAAAGAAAACACATACCTAGGCCCATCATAATGAAATTTCTAAATATCAAAGACAGAACAAAATACTTAAAAGCAGTGAGAGAAAAGAAAGGCATCTTAACTTCAAACGAACAAAAATATGGATGACAGAAACAGTGAAAGCTAGGAGACAATAAAACATCTTTAAAATGCTGAAAGAAATTAACTGGCAATCTAGAACTATGCAATCATTTTGAATTTTCTTCAAAAATGAAAGTAAAATAAGCTTGGCATGGTGGCTCATAATGGGAGAGGCATAATGGGACTTCTCATGTACAAGAAGCATTTTATTTCTTGATGGTGATGATTCCATGAGTTCATTTTGTGAAAAATCATCAAGCAGTACATTCATGATGTGTGTATTTTATGTCCATGCCAATATACAATAACAAAAAGAGAAAGAAAATATAATAATAAACGAAGGAAGGAAGGAAGGAAGGAAGGAAGGAAGGAAGGAAGGAAGGAAGGAAGGAAGGAA